CCCAAGCTGTCGGCGGGCAATGATCTGAACAAGATCATCCGGGCCGAGTACGAGGACCCCTTCTACACCGACCTGGCGTTGCAGGCCATGGAGGCCTGGAAGAGCCCCCTGTTCGCCCCTTATTACCACGAGGTCGGCTACCTGCTCTGCACCTCGGCCGCCGCGCCCGAGAAGGCCAGGAGGTCCCATGCCGTGGCCCGGGAGAGCATCTCGGCGCGGCCGGCATTCCGGGGCCAGATCGTGCCCGTCGAGACCCGCGACGATATCAAGAAGATCGCTCCGGCCTTCGACGGCCCCATGCGCTGGACCGGGTACTTCAATCGGTTCGCCGGCTACGCCCACGCCGCCGATGCGTTGACGGCGGCGTACTCCGCCTGCTGCGCGCTGGGCGTCAAGTTCCGGCTCGGCGAGGCGGCCAGGTCGCTCACGTACACGGGCGACACATGCACCGGCGTCGTCACGGCGACGGGCGAGCGCCTCCGCGCGTCTCTCACGGTATCTGCCCTCGGCGCCTCTACGCCCACGGTCCTGCCGGAGATCGGACAGCAGTTGGTAGCGAGGGCGTGGCCCGTCGCCCACATCCAGCTGACGCCGGCGGAAGCGGCTGCGCTGCGGGGCATCCCCGTGACCTACGCGCGCGATCTTGGTTTCTTCTTCGAGCCGGACCGCCGCACGAACCTGCTGAAGCTCTGCCCGTCGGGCGCGGGTTACACGAACTACACCACCCCCGGGCCCGGCGCCGCCAGCGGCGGCAAGCTCTCTGTGCCCCCGGAGGACAACGGCTTCATCCACGCGCAGGACGAGGCGATGATCCGCCGCTTGCTCCGGGAAACCCTGCCTTCGCTCGCCGACCGGCCGCTGATCAACCAGCAGATCTGCTGGTGTGCGGATACGGCCGACTCCGAGTACATCATCGACTACGTGCCGGGCAAGGAGGGGCTGATGGTCGTGTCGGGAGACTCGGGACACGCCTTCAAGATGCTTCCCGTGATCGGCCAGTGGGTGACCGAGGCGATTGCGGCGGGGAAGCAGAGTCGCGACAGATGGCGGTGGAAGCAAGGATCGAATGCAGCAGGGGAGGTCAGCTGGCGGGTTGGGAAAAGTAAGGACTTGAGTGAGATGGATTCGAAGATCCGGGCGAAGCTGTGAGCACTTGTTCCGAACTCGGATTCGATGCCCCCTAACTTGACTTGGTGTGATCTCCGTGAATGTTTTTTTTTTTTTTTGAGGAAAGGAGGCACGTCATTTTCTTTCCACGGACTAGGTATGTGAGCATGCTACTACATTGAAAATTCTTCGGTTCTCTGGAACTACATAGCCTCGTATACCTAAGTCTGGCGAGCGCTCCTCGCTGTGATGATGAGCCGTTCCCGCTTGCCTCGAGTCATGGTCGTCACGTATCAGCTTCCTTGAAACGAGGATGGTTACGGGTGTTCGGCGCCCGATCAAGAGTCTTCGCCTGAGTTACAATGACGGCTGCCCTGCCCTGACGAGGGCCCAGAACAAAAACAAAAAAAAAAGATCATCCATCCCAATCTCCAAAGCTTCCTTCGCCAGCAGCACTTGTTGCGTCTGGCTAGGCCAAGCCACGTACCTAGGTACATAGTAAGTCGATGAATCTTGACTTGGTCTTTTACCAACTCTTGGCAATTTCATAGCCGAAAGTTAGAACTGCCAGCGCGCCGTCAGGCATCAACCAATGTAGATAGGCAATAAGGGCCCGATACAAACTCAATCTCTGACCTGACTTATAGAGATTTCGATGTTGTTTTATTGCCGGCTATCTTGGAATCTTACAGAAGGGGCATGTTGAAGAATTGGCCCGATTGCTAGCTGGTTGTCTGGTGGTTGGCATCGTCGCCTCTCCCGGGACCATCCTCCAACGGGTGCTTGTGTTTACACCGGGGATGTGTGGTATGGGGGTAAAGGAGGCAATCTCCGCGAAACCATCATCCGAGAGCAGAAAAAACCTCCCCCAGAAACGGATAAGAACTCTGCCTCTCGGAAGATGTTGATGATATATCCGAATAGACTTTTTCTTTCTTTCTTTGTTTGACTCGATAGTCAACGTTGACGCCGCTGGGATAGGGCCGACCGCTCCGGTGGGACGAGGCAATTGAGTAGGTTACAGAGTTCTGTCTTCACGTAAGCAGATGTCGGTGTCCACAAGGCGAGATTCGCACCCGATTTACTTTTCACCTTCCTTTCGGATCCGGGGTCGCCCCAGCATGTCTCCTGAAAATTAAGGTTGACACCACGCCCATATACGGGTAGACCAGCCTGCCAGCTGTTATTCCCAGGAGGAAAAGAAAGGGAAAAAAAACCGGCGGTAACGCTGGTTTCTCGCCAGCAGGACTAAAACCAGCGTCGGCTCTACTAGTATGCCAGCTTGGGGAAAGCCTAGTCTTCTCCCGGGTGGAGGAGGTAGGATAAACGGCTGATGCCCAGGTGTGGTTGTGTTTCCCCCCCGGGAGGAAAGATGGCTCCCTCGATGACGCCTTGTTCGTAGCCGACATATGTACCTAGGTAGGTATGACTCGCACTAGGCGCCAGGCGTGGCCGAATACCTATAACGTCCGTCGCAAACTTTGTTTATCTCTAATATCATTTAGATCGTCCGTACCTTTTCCTCGAAGACGATTCATTCGAGCACTGCTTTACTTCCAGTTTTTAAGGTTGTTCTGTGCATAGGAGCCGGTGCTGGGCTTCGGAAGGGTGACAGGGTCGGATGACACCAGGCGTGTCAACGTGATGTATGGTGCCGATGTGATATTCTATATGAGCCGTTGAGTCCGTTCGTGACCTTGATAGTCCCTCGCTGCCAATATCATATTCATGCTTCGTATCGCACCGCAGCGTCCGCCCATCCCGTGTTTTGCTCAGTAACGTGAGGAATCTCGTAAATCCCTCTTTACGCCGATCATCACCAGAATCTCAATTTCCGGAGCCCTCCCGAGGGACCCGCGTCTCGATAGACCATCATGGGTGGTTTCCTCGTCTCGCCAACTTTCGTGAAGCAGCCGATGGGGGAGAGGGATGTGATGGTCGCGAGCATCTTCCTGGGGCTCACGATATGCTTCGCCATCTTCTCTGCGGCGACCGCCACAAGGCAGACCATACAGTCAATCAGGAGATCGCGCCGCCCAGGTGTTTATATCCTGATGATCTGGGGTCACTGGTTGGCGAATAACTGTTTCGGCATCGTGAGCTTCTTGTATCTGGGAGATGTAATCAAGGCCAGGTATGTACCGAGAGGAAACTCCACCTTCGTCACCGGCGTGTAAGATGCTGACACGCTGTACTGTCGATAGTTTCTGGCTGTGGTTTGTCATATGTATGTTCAGTCACTGTCCCGACCTCCTTGCATCAGGTGCCGGACCGATGAGTTGACTCTTGAGCAGTGGTCCTCTGGGTCTTTCAATCCCAGTTGATCGTACAGATCATTGTGAACCGGATATCTCTCCTGATCCTCGTGAAGTCGCACGCTCGACATATCAAATACACCGTCCTCGCCATCATGACGGCGATCAATATCAGCGTCTTTATCATTTGGATACCAACTCGGCTTGATATCTCCCATGAATGGGTTCATATCGGTACGTATGATTAAAACGTGTCGCGTTTTGTATTTTCCTTCAACTCTCGCTCCCTGTTCTTGACTTCTCTGGCGAGTTCGAGCATGGCTGACTGCTTTCTAGTATGTGGACTCCCCGTCGCGATTCTTCTAAAATACCTGACCAGCGATTACTAACCACCAGGGTTGATTGCAACAGAACGAGATATGGGATCGTATCGAAAAATGCATCTTCCTGGTCGTCGATGCCGGGCTCAACGCCTATTTCATATATTTGGTGAGAAACCGGCTCATCGCGAACGGTCTTACCAAATATGTTCCTTTGTTCCGCTTCAACATCGCCATGGTGGCTATCTCGGTTTCCGCAGACGTGAGTTCATTTCCACTTGGGGAAAATGGTTCCCTTTGCAGCAGCAGCAGCTCACCCTGTGTCGCAGGTTGTTCTCATCGGAATGATGTCGTTGCCTAACAATCTCCTGTATGTGTAAAAAAAAATCCCACGATCCCTCTCAAATAAAAGATTGTATGCAGCTGACACCGACGCCAGGTACCTCCAATCCCAGTCGGTAGTCTACGCCATCAAGCTACACATCGAGATGAACATGGCCGACCTGATCAAGAAGGTGGTGCGCGCATCCAACATCAACGAGGGAGGCCTGTCGTCCGGTATAGGACGAAGGTCGTCCTCGAAAAGCGACAGCGTCGCAGCCCGAGGCACATGCCGGACCTTCGGCGGCGGCGGCGGCGGCCACCATCATAGGCACTTCGGGAGGAACAAGAGGGGACCGCTCAGCAGCCACACGTCCAACAACGACGACCACAGCGACCCCCACAACTACAACAACTTCATCGCGGATTTGTCGCGGGGCGCCAACGCGCCGTATCGCGGGCACAACACGACCCACGTCTCGCACGACAGCAGCGAGTACCTCGACCTGGACCTCGACCTCGTCGAGCGCGGCGACCTGGGCCTGGCGCCCCTGGGGGGCATCCAGAAGACCACGGTGGTGACGCAGGTCGTGGACGGGCAGGCGCCTTCGATCTCGGGCTCGTCGCACGATTCGGGGGTCGTCGCAGGGCAATCCAGCAGCAGCAGCAGCAGCAGCAGCACCTCGGAGGCGGCGTCGGATTGCGAGTTAACTAATTTTTATCACGGGCCGCTCTGAAACGTTTGTACTAATTATTTATTATATGATAGTCTATGTGAAAAGATATGAAATGTGAAATAATACATACATGATGAGAAAGGAGAGAGAGTCAGAGACCTCCTTGGAGCGATCCACAAGGGGCTGGCTACGTACCGGTACGCTATGACACTACCTAGGTTAGCCTGGTGCCTGGCAGCCTGGTAGTGAGTGCATGTCACCTACATAGCGGGTAATAAGCCGACATCGTTTCCATCCAACATCTCCATCAAACAATCCAATCCTCGGTGGCGCAATTGGCTAGCGCGTCTGACTGTTAATATGAAAAGTCCTTGATTATTAACTTGTCATCAGGAGGTTGAAAGTTCGAGCCTTTCCCGGGGAGTTTGAATCATCTTTTTGTCAATCTTTTCGGATGTTTTACCTCAGTAATTCTCTTTTTCTTTTCTTCCCCTCTCGTCTTTTTTTTTTTCAATCTCATCTTGTGCAGATCATGTGGGGTAATGGAAGAGGTAGGTAGATACCTGGAGTGCAGCTCTGCGGCTTTAATCTGTCCATGATGATGACGACGGTTAACCGTTTCTGCAACGTCCTACAGGTTAGAGAACCCCTGAAATAGGTAATGTGTGCAGGTCGAATAAACCGGCTTATCGACCAAACCTCTTACTGCACATTGTGCAATTGCTAAGCACTTCTATGATAACCCGATGTATGGGTTATGTGACCCACGTGTATGATCTTGCCGGTAGGACCGTGGATGAAAGCTCAGAATAGAACAGAGTGTTTCATAACAAAACATCCACAAGTCGCAAGTGTTGTTTGTGCCTCAACCATCAAAACAGCATAAATTACTCTTTGAGATGACGAAATCATTTCCACACCGGGATCGCCCAAGCCCAAATCCACCATCCAAGTTTTGCAGCACAACAGTAGTACTCCCTACCTGCAGCAGCTGCGGGTGATAGAGGTGTAGACAGGAAGATGATTTATGTGACAGAGATCCAAGTGGGATGGTTAGCTTGTCCTCAAGCGCAGCAAGTTATCGTGCTCGAGTAAACAAGATACAGTATGTGTGTGCGAATTTCTTCATTGATAGGATCTCATCTCGCAATCGTTAAGACTCGAACTTAAGGGGCACCGTCTCCCTCTCGACCTCCCTTTTTAGGTCCAAGCAAGTGCCAACAAGTAGCAACCTCACATATAGTATATGTACCAGAATCGCCACACCATGCCCGTCAGCTCTCCTCGTCGCTTCATTGCTTCCATGACATACCAAGTTTTCTCCATAGACAGAATCACGTAAATGCTTTAAATAGCAAACAAAAAACCGCTCATCCATTCATTCGCCCGCCTTGCACAGTAGAGAACAAAATTTTGAATCAAATGAATATGCTAGGGGAGAACTGTCCCCGTAGCATAATCCGCCCAGCCCAGAACGCCATTTTGCAGACACATGGATAAATAGTTACCGGCATAATTGTAAACGTGTGATATATATAGAACCGATGAGTTCAGCTTCTGAACCTGATGTCACCGCTCGTATTTGGGCAACGGCTCAGTATGCGGTGCGCCACCGCCGTGTGAAGGGGCCGATGGCCCCGCTATAGCGTGGTACGAATCGTGGTGGTCCTCTTCGTTGAATATGGGAGCCGAAGGTTCTTCTGACGGTCCAGCAGCTAGGGCCAAAGTAGGCGCTGACGGCCCGGCCCCTCCGTCGAAGTCTTCTGGAACTTCGGGAGGCGCACTTGCTTCCTCGAGAAGGCGACGGCGTTCGAGTTCTTGCTTATCATCTGTGGTAGACCTGGTAGAAGACCCTTGAGCTAGGTCGGCCAAGGTAGGGGCTGATGGCCCTTCGCCGGCGTTGTCTTCCAGCGCAGATGGTTCGGGAAGCACATCGCTGCGCGGTGTCGAGCTTCCTTCCACAGGCATAGTATTCGTAGGCGCCGAAGGTTGAGAGGGCCCCGCGCTGGGCTCAGGAGTCTGCTGTGGTGGCTGACTCGGCAGCAGTCTCTGCTCGGCCTGCCGCACCCGCTCCTTGTCAGTGAGCCCGCTCTGTTGGGGTACTTCAGGCGGCGGGACATAGACGGGAGCCTGAGACCCATGATCCTGAAAATCATAATACGATGTATGCGGTGATGTGACAGGCGGAAAAAAGCTGTGAGGCGACTGCTGTATCTGATCAGGATCGTACTCGCCCCTGTAAGCGTTGTCGTTCGGGTACTCGTTATTCCAGGTATAGTTGTGCTCATCCTCCCGTGTGGGGACATCCTGGGAGGACGGTGGTTGCACAGTCAGAGCTGGTCGAACGATCGATTTGCTTCGCGTCCGCTTGGAATCCAGATTCCCCACGACGACTTCGAAAGATACAGAGATGACCCCCTTTTCGCGTCGCAAGTGATCCGTATCTACAATGGTGCGGTTCCAATTCCCAACTCGCGCTAGGTCAGCTCCAAACCCAGCAGCCGTCGAAGAGCCGGGACCCGGCATGGCCAAAGCAGTCATTCTGCCAGATTGCTGTGAAGTACCCGACAATGGCCCCGCGAGTTTTCCACCTAGGTCAACTACAACTTCAACATGGTATTTGAAGCTGATGAGACCTCCAGGTACATTCCTTATACTCGGAAATACATCCTCGGGAACCCTGACAGACGCGGCGATATTGGCGGAGAGTGTGTTCGGGTCGATGATGAGCGGGGCGACAGCTTGGTGAAGATCTTTTCGAAACACACTACAAGAACCGGCAGAAGACAATGACAACCCCCCGAGCCCAGTTCTTGATTTTGGATAATACTCCTCACGCTCAAGTCTCTTGGCATCTTCTTTAGATAGATCCGCAAACAAAGACATTGGAGGTGAGTAGTCGACGCGGCCCTGCCGATACAACGTGACTACGACACCGTGTAAGCTCTTTATGCGACGATTATGCTCCACTCGGATCTTGACCGGCAGATAATCCCCAGGTAAGCAGCCGCCCTTTGATAGCTCAACCGTAGCAGTAATTTCCCTATCGTCAGTAGAGACCTTGCTCGCTGCCACAGACTCGGCACTTCCTTCGGGACCCCAGACGTGGCCATTGTTTGAACTGCTGTTGTTGCTGATAGCACTTTCACCACTGATTTCACTCTGTACATCGATGGGTACAGGACTGCGTGGCATATTGGCGCCGGTAGGGCTAGTGACTGACATATCTCCATTGTTGGTCGAGTTCTCGCCTGAATGATCGTGTGCTCTCATCGAGTCCATGTCCGAGGCACTTTCTATGATCTCGGTCACGGCTGGACTGCGCCTTACAACCTGCGTCACTGCTGATGCCGCTGTTTTCCTCCTCCTCGGCTTTCTGCGCATGGTCTGCATCGTAACCTTGCGTTCTCGAGGGGGGGCAAGTAAGCCTATATCTATTTTTTCAATAAGGGCAACTTTTGTTTCACAGCTAGAAGTCGGCGCTATCGTGGTCGGGCGCGTCAAGGTGGCAGTGACCATATAAGATATGGTGCCCCTTTCGAACTGTGGAGATCACATCATGTTAGCCATCTCTTCGGATACGCCAATGACGGCGTGTTCTACCCGGGAGACCATACATCGATGCTGCTAGGGAGACCCTCCGAAGGGAAGATGAGCTCGAATTCGAACTCAAACCTCGTGGGCTTGAGCCTTCCCTCTCCGCAAAGAACCTGCTCATCCTGGAATAGGGTAGCATGGCCGTTGCCATGGTATCGGAAGTTTCTACTTCCATCGTGGGAGAGAGAGGCGGGGTTGACGTTGCTGAGCTGTGCGGCAGCACCGGCGTTCTTATAGACGCGCACACATCCGTGCAAGGCCACCGTCAAATGCGTAATGCGGATGGGCTTCACGACGGAGAGTATCACATGCCCCTTGACGTGGTCGCCAGCAGAGTATTGGCGATGGGGTTCGCGGAGTCGGATGTGGAAATCGGCAAGATTGCGCGTCCGCGAGCGAAGAGGGGAGGCAAGTCGGGAGAAGAAGGAGGGTTTGGGTGGCAGGTCGTCGTGTGACAAGCTGGAAGATTTGTCGAGATGGGAACCCATTTATTCAACGCGAATTGTACCGACAACGACGTGTGTGCCTCACGCGACACGAGACGACATCAGCTGGCTAAGGTCGAATCGACTTATATATATATATATACCTATATCGATATGCGATGCGCGGAGAGGGGCAGCGCAGCGATTGTCAGTTGGGATTGAAGAACGGTGTATCTGATGTAGTGGTATGATGTGGTGATGTAGGGTGCGGAAGCGTTGGGCGACAAGGCGGGCGGCCGGGAGGAACGGGCGGGTAGTCTGTCGACACCTGGAGCCTGTCGGCTGTCGGACTCGGACGGGCAGGGCAGGGACGCACACTGGAGCAGAGCAGAGCACAGCACAGCACAGGATAGAAGCGGAGCGGTGATGTCAAGGACCCCTTACCGGAGCCCTGAGTGAGGGAATATGCAAAGCTCGTCGAAGTTGGAATGTTCTATATCGTGAATTATACTTATTACTCGGGTGCTGCATGTGCCAAGCTGTGGAGGGTCTTGGTAAAGACTTGGTAGAAAATGCTTGGGAACGGGCGCCAAGAGATATTAAAAGTAGCGAACAGTTCGAGTCGTCGAGATGGTCGAGAACGTTTTCCGTGGGGGGGGGAAAGAGGGAGAGGGACATGGAGGTGTGAGTGAGGGGGGCATCACGGATCATGTACTCCCAAGGCTGTACCTACCTAAGCCTTTTAGGGGTATATCAGGCACTGTATTCGCTAATGAGGTACCTATCCAGGTCCACTACGGTTGTATTGAACGTTTCAACGTTGACCGACCGCACACCTGAGGTAGCTTCTAAAGTTCTCTGCTTCTACGCCGCCGCCCACGCTACTACATCCTTTTATGTACAAAGTACCTAGGTATCTAAGTAGAAAGTAACTTTGAAAGTAGCCCCTTACACTAAAGCAAGCTTGAGGCTAATATTGCTTGACTCGACTACCTGTATGCGTTCATCTCCTGTCATATCCCTCGTTCCCAAGGTTCTAGTATCGACACTCACTGCACTGTCCTCCCCTCGATGATGGCTGGGTGTGTTGCGGTAACTTGATCAGGTGTGTAACGTCTCCAGGGGGGAGGGGGGGCATCACTGAGGCAATGCAAGACGAACCAGAAACGAACCAACTCTCGCATGGAAAGATCCAACCCTACGATTGGATAGGGTCACTTACCTAGGTGTGTATATAACTAATAGGTATCGACAGCCGATGGCCCAATTCGAGGAGTGGGATACCTACATATCATGGATGGGGGGGAACGTCCGGCAGTATCTTCTGTTAATAACCGCCCAGCAGTTCTCCGTAATGACTCCGTGAGTCCGTACATACTCCGTGCATGCCCCGTATCCCCCT